CCCCAAAACCCCAAAACCCCGAGAGTGGATAAATTATGAAATAAAGATTAAGATAATTTCAAAATCATAACTGTTGTTTATCATTATAAATTGTTGATCCAATTCTCAGTTTACTTTAGCCTAACTTCATCCTAGATTTTTTAACATCAATAAATCTCCTTGGACTTGTAGGGGCGCTAGCTCTATGACTATGAATTCTGTTTGTATTACTGTTCATTAAAAGTGCATTTGAGTTGAATGTGATTAAATTTGTACTAGTGTTATTTAAATTATTTTAGTTATCCATAACTGACGATTCTCCTGAGTTAGGGTTTCGTTCTCGATTAGAAAATCTCTAAGTTTGGTAGAGTTTTGAGTCTTCTAATGTCTATAGCTTCTTCATTGAGAACTCACTATGGTTTAAAGAGCTAATCACATCTTATTGAGATTGTTGTAGATTAAGGTATTCTGTTTTTTCTTATATTCTCTGTATCATCCTACCTCTTCTATTAGTTAATTGAAGTTTAGAATCTTAATTTGTTGATTGAACTGAGTCTATCTGACTTACTATCTTTGTGGTTTCTTATACTTAGTTTTCAACATCATTATCTTACTGGTCTTTATAGTACTGGCTTTGAAGTTTTTGATTGACTGGTTTAATATTCTCTCCAAATGAAGACTCTGACAGTAGTTATTTACTTGAAGATATGTTCATATGATTTTGATTTCTGACTTTGATTTTCTCGATCATGTTTACATCCTTCTTATATGTAGTCCTTAACTTCTTTATACTATCTTTTTCTTATTCCCTTTTCACAATCTTTTGTTTTGTCTTTTTTAGCAATTCAATCTCAGTTTTTATTAAATTTTTCCGAGTGAATTCATTCTTTTAATAGATGACTGGCGAAGGGAAATAAGAAAGGCATGCCATCTTAAAGGCACTAATGACTCTATATTATTGGGAACTACAGCTCAAGCATGTCCTATCAATCGCAATTGGTTAATGGGTTTGAGTGCATTCTACTTTATTTGTTGAACTATTTGGAGAATTTATTAAGATTTGAGTTTAATTGTGCTAAGGCTTTCCTTATTTGATTTCTTCTTTAACTCCTAGTAAAGAAATAGAATTTCTATCCTCCTCATCAGCTAAAGACAAAATGCACTGAATTTTTATTGCCTCAATGATACCCTCAAATGATTCAGCAATAAACTCGTCTTTGGAGGCCATCATATCGATAAAGTTTTGGAAATTTTAAATCAGGAACTTGAAATTCTAAATTTAATCTAATATCTCCAAATTTTATTTAGTCATTTTCCTCTAATATGATAAGAGACTCTGATTAAGCTGCTCAGTTTAAGTTGTAATATGATCAAGCTCTTTTACTTGAGCGTTTTCATGCTTTTGAAGCTTAAATTCTATTTCCTTGGTCAACTCATCTAAAGCATAAAATCTTTCTTCAATTTTTTTAAAATCTGTGTCAAATGGATATCTTCTTTTAATAGATGCTAATTGCTCCTCAAATTTCTAAAGTTTCTTTTAAAGTATAGGGTCTAGATCAGTTTCTTCAATGTGAGGTTTTTATAGCCTCTCCATCATGGTGGTTGAGAACATTAAATTATTCATGCCGTAACCTTAGTTAGCATATTAATCATATTAATATTGCTAAGTTTATCCATCATCGTCTTCTTCATTATCCTCTTCCCCTTCACCTTCAACTTCCAATACCTCATCATCCAATAAATCCTGATCATCAGTCTTAAGCTAATTAGAATCCTTTTTCTCACCAGATTCTATCTCTTAAGCATCTTCATCTTCTTCTTAAACTTAGTCATTATCTGAACCTTATTCCTCTTACTCTTCATTCTCATACTATTCTTGATCTTCTTCATCTTCATTTTCATATTCCTATGATTCTTCATCTTCTTCGTCTTGATCTAGATTTTCAGCCATTATATCATAGGACTCAGAAGATTTATCCATTGGTAGTATGTTCTCATTTTATGATGAATTTATCTCTGCTAAGTTTAAAATCATATCTTATTCATCAACTACATTTTTATGATCAACATTTTAATTGTTTTTCGATAAGTGATCAAATGAAGGAATGCTATCAGACTTGTTTTCCTCTGTAATTTTTATATTTATTTTAATTTGACTTTAGTTGCTGCTTTCTTTTCTTTATGGACTCGCTGCTTTAGAGGAAGCCTTAATTTCAACTGTGTCTTTGTTACTTCTCACAGAAGGTTGTTTTGATGTCTTAATGGATGCTGTTGTTAAATTATATTTGGCTTCACCGTCTTTCTAAGGTGAGCTCCTAATACTATTAGATGGCCTGCTTCCACTTATTTTGCTAATTTTACTAAACTGCTTTTAGATTGGCAATTTTCTAGTAGACTCTGGTATGGCTAGATTGTCCACATTCAAACTTTCATTACTTGGCTTCTTAGACATTGTCTAAAAGTTTAAATTTGGATTATTCTGCTTTGTTTCTCTTAGAGTTTTATTACGAGGAGTAAGTATAGCTTTTCCTCTCATCGGATTAAGTGTAATCATTTTCATGGGTTTCGTTTTGAGAAGAGTTGTTTATTTCTATGCTTTCCTTTTTTCAACGCTACCTTATCTATCAGTTGTATTCAAATGTATTAAAGGCATATTAGAAGGATTGATAATATGTTTCAATCCAGTTGGACTTTTTTTTATTCTGGAAAGCGGTGGCGATCCAGCCATATTAAAGGGTGAAATATTATGTATCTAAGGCATGCTCATTTGCATAGGCATAGGCAATTGCATCATTTGATGAGGCTGATTTTTTATTTTTATTTTCAAAGCCTCAATTTCCTCCTCTAGTAATTTAATATCAGGAGAGGAATACTTTTTCTTATCAAAATTTAATGATGTTGATTCCTCAGTTTCACTTATTTACTTGACTAGTAATGGATATTTTTCAAGCTTGAACTAGCAATGTTTCATTGCAAGTTCATTATTGTTACTGAATACTGCTTTGAAATTTTCGTCTATAACGTTTTAAATGCTAACTGGTAGATATTTTTCGAAATATTAGTCTATATCCTTGTTTAGTTTATCCTGATTGAAAATACTTGCTGAATTCATCTAAAGGTCTTTCTCAATACTTCTAATTTTAAGATTATAGTCTTTGGAACTTATTATATTTTTTTACAAATCCTCAAGTTACTGCAATACACTGTCTTGATTCATATTAATAATTGAATTTTAGCTTGAGATCTTTTTCATCTCAGCAACTAGATGTTCAATCTAGCTGCAGCAAGTATCAGAAGACTCTTTTACTTTTTCAAGTGTTAACTAAGAGTTACTGAGGTCTGTTTTCATCTGAGTATGATGATCTGATATATATTTAGTAAGATTTTCCTTAGTTTATGATAAATCAGTTTTTTATAATTTAACCATTGATGTCAAATGCTCAATATTGTGTATGTATGTTTATCTTTCGTTCTCAAAAATATCAAGTTTCTTTTCTAAAGTCAATGCTAATCCCTAAATAGTCTTAATTTTATCCTTAAGTTTTAGATGCTTCATTCGATGTGCTTAGTCCTAAATTTTTAAAAGTTAAAAGTTCATTATATTTTTACAACTTAATCTTGAGCCCTATTAGCCCCATCTATTTTCTACCCATTCCTTGCAGCCTTTGTTATAATCAATTCGCACTCATCCATTTTTTATTGTATTTTTAGGAATTATGTCTGAAGGTCCTTAACTTAATCAGAAGACTAAGTCTGTCTTTTGATAGAAGGCTCTATCAAATTTAAAACCATCTTTCTTATTCTAGTTTCGAATGCAAATAGATTCAAGTCTTCATCAAATTTTTCATCACCCATCAAATTTTGCTATGTTGTTATTCTTTGGTTCCTCTAATCAGTTAAAAGTGATGTCGCTGATGGATGAGAGTCATTAATAAAAGGCATCAATAAAGATGACTCTTTGGGTCCTGTTCTAAAATTCATAGATTGCCTTTTAGCAATATCAGGATCCATATGAAAAGTATTTTTCTTCTGTAACATTTCTATTCCTGATTTAAAATGTAAGTTATTATTCCAATCGAACTAAACTAATGAAATTCATATTGAAGTCTTAAGGGGTTTTGGGGTTTTGGGGAGATCG